TTGCATGCCCCCTGCTGGGGATCAAGCCTGCAACCCAGGCATGTGCCCTGACTGGGAATTGAACTGGTGACCTCTTGTTTCTGGGTCATGCTCAACCACTGAGCCATACCAACTGGGCTGAAAGTATACTTTTAGAAGTAGTGTTCTGTCGGAGGAATACAGGCTGGACTCCCGAATAAATGCAAGTGTGTGTGTGGTGTTTTTTTTTCTGTGTGTGTGTGTGTGGGGGGTTAATCTTCACCCAAGGATATTTTTCCATTGATTTTTTTAGAGAGAGTGGAAAAGAGAGGGAAAGACAGGGAGAAATATCGATGTGAAAGAAACACATCGTTTAGTTGCCTCCTGCAGGTGCTCTGCCCAGAGTCCTGGCCAGGGAAGAGCTTGCAACCCAACCAAGGTATGTGCCCTTGACTGGAATTGAACCCAGGACTTGTTGGTCTGCAGGCTAACACTATCACTGAGCAAAACTGGCCAGGGACAAGTATGTGTTTTTTTTTAATGCTCCTTTCTTGCAATAGCAAGGCACTTCTATCTCTGAGCCCCAGTGCAAATTAAAGTTCTTTGGAAGAAGATTATCTTAGGAGAAACAGGACTCTGGGACCTTAGGCCAGTGTTATACTCTAACCAGCAAGCCCTTCCTTCCTTCCTGACATAAGATAAGCAAGTTATGTCTTTGCTCAGAGAGGAATTAAAACTCATTAGTGTGAATTACAAAAATTCAAGTTCCCTGCCTCCCCCTTCTCTAAAAACTCTTGAAGGAAGCTCTAACAATTGAGAAAATTAGTAGATAGGAAATTGTGAAACAATTTGTTACTTGAACTGTTGGCTCTGAGTGTGGAACACCATCTTGATTCTGATTTTACCTTTTTATTTCTCCAGGCGAATCATCAATAAACACACTGATGAATCATTAGGTGACTGCTCTTTCCTTAATACATGTTTCCACATGGATACCTGCAAATATGTTCACTATGAAATTGATGCTTGCATGGATTCTGAGGCTCCTGGGAGCAAAGACCAGACACCAAGCCAGGAGCTTGCTCTCACACAGAGTGTTGGAGGAGATTCCAACGTAGACAGACTCTTCCCACCTCAGGTACCTGTTGGCTCAGAAAACTTATCTCAGTTTATGGACTTAATCTGATAAGGCAGCCATACATGTAGAAAAGCAGGGCATAATTAGCAATCTGTTTTGCTGATTGGGAATGGAGTGGGATAGATATGCTTAAAAGGGAGTAGGAAAATAGATGGAAAAGAGGGACTGGGGCCATGAATCTCAGAGTGGAGGAAGGGAAGATGACCAAATACCACCTCATGCAGTGGATCTGTTGTGATATCCGCTACCTGGACGTCAGTATCTTGGGCAAGTTTGCAGTTGTGATGGCTGACCCACCCTGGGATATTCACATGGAGCTGCCCTATGGGACCCTGACAGATGATGAGATGCGCAGGCTCAACATACCAGTACTGCAGGATGATGGCTTTCTCTTCCTCTGGGTCACAGGCAGGTAATGCAGTTCAAAGATATGTAGTATGGGCAGGTATAGTACAGAGTGAGTACTGGGTGGGGATAAAATCCTGGATTTCCCTAGCTGTGCTAATTACTATAAGATTGAGTCAGCCTTTTTTCCTATTAATGCCTATTTATAACAAATTATATATTGAATCATATTTAACTTTATATTTGTTCCTTGTGAAAGGTAAGGCCACTGAGAACAGATACTATGTTTTGTTTTTACATTCTTATATCATCCTGTTGCCTTAATGGTGTCTTGCATGTAAATGTTCACTGAATGTCTACTGAAAACAACGTATCTTGAAGCGAAAGGAAAAACAGGCATGAAAGTAGCTGTTTAACCCTTCTTTCTTCCTAGGGCCATGGAGTTGGGCAGAGAATGTCTGAACCTCTGGGGGTAAGTGTTGCTTTCTTTTGGGACTGTGGTTGGCAAACTGTGGCTCGCGAGCCGCATGCGACTCTTTGGCCCCTTGTGGTTCTTGCACAAAATACCAGAGCCTGGGCGAGTCTATTTTGAAGAAGTGATGTTAAAAGTTTAAAAAAATTTGGCTCTCAAAAGAAATTTCAATGGTTTTACTGTTGATATTTGGCTCTGTTGACTAATGAGTTTGCCAACCACTCTTTTGGGGGAAATACATAATTGCTATATAGATAATCAGTTTATTTCTCCCAGAGTATTCCTATGATTCCCTACCCTTAGATAGTACTACTCCTAAACTGTGAAAGCCTGATTAAAGCTCTTGTTTTTCTTATGCCCCACAGTTATGAACGGGTAGATGAAATTATCTGGGTGAAGACAAATCAACTGCAACGCATCATTCGGACAGGCCGGACAGGTCACTGGTTGAACCATGGAAAGGAACACTGCTTGGTGAGCAGCAGTGGGGCTCAATTCATTAGGTGGAGCAAAAAAGAGGAATTATGTGATTTCTCATTGAGATAAAGTTCGAATGTTGGGTTCCATAAGGTAATCTGTTCTCTGTGGTGAGCAGGTTGGTGTCAAAGGAAATCCCCAAGGCTTCAACCAGGGTCTGGATTGTGATGTGATCGTAGCTGAGGTATGTGCTTCTCAGGCGTCCAAAGGTTTCATGTTTGAATTGATACTAGTTATTGTCCCAAGTTCTCTCATTTGGCTCTCAAAAAGAAATTTGGGTCTTAAAACATAAATGGAAAGGGCTAGAATTGCAATTTTGAGTAACTTAAAAATAGCTAGACCCTTTATTTCCTAGGTTCGTTCTACCAGTCATAAACCAGATGAAATCTATGGCATGATTGAGAGACTATCCCCTGGCACTCGCAAGATTGAATTATTTGGACGACCTCACAATGTGCAACCCAACTGGTAAGGTGATCAGAGAACATGCTAGCCCCCATTGGCAAAAGTATTTATAGTCAAGGACATTAGTTAGTAGAGTTTCACATCATATTCCAGTATCCTGTAAATGGACTTTGAAGGATCATAAGCCAACTAAGCTTATATTTTATGTTAGACTGTTTTACAGGATTCTGCAACATTCATTGGAAACCCCACAGGTTTTAGGATTCAAACCACTGTTCTCTAGATTCCACTTTTACAACCTAAAGATATTCCTCAATCTGTGGATGTTTTGAATCTGTTTCCTGGTGGTTACTAAGAATCTAATCTGTCAAGAATTTTAACATCTTTCATTCTGTTAGTAGAGCTTTAAAAGATAGGCTGCTAATTTTTCTTAATTGAATTTACTTGGGTGACATTGGTTCACAAAAACATACAGGTTTTAAGTAAATTCAATTAAAAAATACAATTTAAAAAAAGAGACATGCTGTTAGCATTTAACTTATCTAAGGAATACTCACTGTCAGCAACAGCTTGGAAAAGTAGGCCTGGTTACCTATCAGTTATTAACTCTTAAGTGACACAGATCTTGCCTATTTTAACATCAGAATCTGCCCATTCATAACCAGTCATGCTACCACATACTATTCTATTAAGGCCTTTTAAAAAGAATTGGCATAGGTATTTGATGAGATGATAGGCAGTCTTAATAAAAGGTATATTTTAACAATATTAAGCCTTTTAATTCTGGGAATTTTGGTTTGCCCCATCTTTCCCCTTGCTTCAGGATCACCCTTGGAAACCAGCTGGATGGGATCCACCTACTAGATCCAGATGTGGTTGCCCGGTTCAAGCAAAGGTATCCAGATGGTATCATCTCTAAACCTAAAAATCTATAGAAGCACTTCCTCACAGAGCTAAGCATCCATAGCTATGGCTCTGCAGGCTGCATCTGAAGAGTAATATTTGTACAATAACTCTTTTTTAATTTAAATAAAAGTTTGTATTGCAGTAGGGGTTTTGAGGTCAAATTTTGACTTTGCCACTTAACAGTGTGTGGACTCATGTAACTCATCCCTCAGTATGATTCCTGATAATGTAAACTGGAAATATTACCTACTTCATTGGCTGTGGTAAGGGTTCAAACAAAATGAATGCATGGGAAGCATTAAAATGTTGATTATTCAGTATAGGATGAAAGTGATTAGTAATTAATACTACATGAACATTATAATAAAGGGCTCTCGGGGACAGCATTTCTCAAGGTAAGATTTGAGTTTCCCTTAAGGTTATCACTAGGGCTCTATGCTCTAAATATTTGCTGATTCTGTTACAACTATGTGGCTTGGTAGTCTATTCTTTGGCTTAAAGTTTCAAGAAAAGTAATATAAGTGCATTTTAGATTAAGTGCTTAGGATGTGCAGAGAATAGGCTTATGTAAATTATGTAAGTGAAACCACTTCTGGCATATTTTTTAAAGATAGCTTATCAAACACAACTGAATACAACTTTCGACTGGTGAAACTTCTATTAAAGATGTAGAGTTCTGCCTTTCACACTCAGAAACTGTGATAGCTGAGGTAAGAAAAGACAATGACTGCAGAAATATTTGTAAAGAAGAATAAATAAGAAAATCTTAAATGATGTTATTTTCCATATAGCCCAGTGTGCCTGTATTGAAAACCTTTTTTCTCAAAGCAATGTATAGATGTGCATTACTAGCTCTCTGTTTAAAAGATATCTTTAAGTTTAACCTTTTATTCTTTTTAAAATGGATGCACACAGTGGTAGGCTCAAAGCTGATATGTACTCTCATAATTTTAATCTTTTAGGCAAGTCCTATGACAATTATACTAACAAGTTTCCTCACACCACCTCCCCCACCCCCCTTTCCCACCACCCTATGTTCTGCTTGTCCATATTCCCGTCACCCTTTCCTCTGCTATTGTCACTGGCATCTCTGCTTGTACTTGAAAGTAAAAAGCAACCCCAGATTACAGCATACTCAATGACCCTGCTCCATAGCCTGGTTATGGAAGAGGAGAAGCATGAAGGGACCATCATGGGCTCAGTTCAGGTATTATCAGAAGCCCAGCTTGAGTTTTAAAAGCAGGGTCTTGGACATGTTCCTGGCAGATAAATCTTCATTGGCTTGGAGATCAGGAAGGACTATTTTACAAACACCACTGTGTTCGAATTTCTAGAGGCTAACCAGGCCAAGAAGACATCCCTAAGAGAAAAAAAAGATACAAATAAACAGAATTATAGTTTAGATGTATTCTTTCTTAATTCTGTCTTAAATAGGTTTTCAGTTAACTTCCTATAGCATCAAAGTGAAATGGTATCACTCAGTAGGAATATTAGGGCAATGGACCTAAAAGTCAACAGTATAGGCAATCCTAGTTTACGGAAGAGGATCTGACATAGAAAATACCAATGCCTGGTTTCATGAATGTAGATAAATCCCAAGAAAATTTGGGGAGATGGACAAAATCTTCAGAACTCCAACTCTTGCCATACTTAGCACCTTATTATGCTATTTATCACTTATCCATTCTTCCTCAAATTCTAATTCCCTAAGTGTTCTGATTTGCACTAAGAAGATAGGCGAAGCTAATATTCAGTCACTAACTGCTTAATGTGTCGTCATACATTTAAAGAGTATACCTAAAGGTAAATGTGGTACCTGGGAAGTGTGACTGCTAATTATCTTTGTGTAGCAAATCAAGCAGGGGAACTTTTCTGATAGTCAGTCTTACAATCAGACATATATATGTATCTACCAACTTTACCTAAGGTAAGGTATACTCTATCTAAGGTAATACTGACATGCTCAGGGTTACCATGTTTTCCAATAGTTAATTTTAGCAATACCTGAATTATAAGGGAAACTATAACTCACCTGCAGTGCTTCACCACACACTCATTGCTGCAGTATTCATTGTCCCAGTCCTTACTCGCAACGGGAGGGTTCTCACAACCAGACCTCACACAGCGAGGCTGGGGTGAGATCGTCACTGGAGACCCACTCACCAATTCAACATCCATTTGAGAAGGAGACTCAACCTATGAGGAAGAAAGCACCAAAGATGGATTAGATTTGCTACCTACCTTGCCAGGCACTAGTGAAATTAACTTTGGGACCCAATGGAGCAATAGGAGTTAACATCCCACACATGGGGGTAACATTTCAAAAGGAGGTGAGTTTTTGGTATTCCACTTTTTATCCAGTTTTAGAACTTTGTCAAGCAGACTCACATGAAGCTTCTTCCCATTAGGAAACTGTTGGCTATATGCTAGTATATTAACCCTTTAACAATGCAGGTTTGAACTGCGAGGGTCCACTCAAGAGTATGCAGATTTACCTGCAGTTTAAGGGTCACTATTTTTGATCCAGGTTTAGAATCCATGTATGTGAAGGGTCATCTACTAGTTTTACGTTCTTTAATTTTAATCTTACCCATCATTGACTTATTTCACACTTGAATATATAAAATCAAAAGCAGAATGTGAAAAGAGGTTGGGTCACCTCATCTAAGATTGCGAGATTTAAGAGAGGATAAAATGTGCCATTAGAAAAAGTGAAAGAACTTGGAGATTCATAGTTTCCTCCTGATAGAGGGATTACTATTCTTTAAATTACTTCTTCATCAATTATGGTGCTAATCTCAAACAGATCCATATTTAAAAATAACCACTGGCCATGTATAAGTTAAAGTTAGGGTACTGGACATCTGTTTATGTCACTTTGGACTCATTGATATGAACCAATTGAATTTTTCTAGCTACATCCCCTGTCCATCTCCCCACTGAAAACATCAAGCCAAGCAGTCCAGATATAGGAGAAATGGAAGCACTTAAATCTCCAAAGCTTAGGATCCTTGGGTATAACTCTGGGCTTGAGTTGTACCCTCTCTAGTCAAACCACAGTATTTTGCTTAAAGAGTAATCTGGGAAAGGAGGCCCCTTAATGCTTTTCACCAAGAACATTATAGAGTGTTATAGATGGGAACTGTCCTTTACAAGCTGTTTCATACTCCTGGTTGTTGAGCATTAAGTGCTTATGGCAACCCCTACTTTTATTGGATCAACAGAGGAGACTGATCATCAAAGGAAAGACTTGAAAACTGGCTCACCTCAGGAACTACATCTGTGATCATCTCACAGATCGTATCAGTAGAGGTCTCCTCCACCGTATGGGCCTCAGGGCTTGTGTTCATAGGCCGCTCAGGACTACTTTCCACAGTTGGTGGGACTAAGGTGGTCTGCATTTTCAGAGTGGGTCCAGGCACAATCTTGATCTGCAGAGGAGGTGGCTGTTGCTGTAAATTGATTCGAGCTTTCTGAGGTGGAGGCTGTTGCATGGCCTGGAGTGGGGGAGGCTGCTGCAGAATGGTCACTTGCTGCTGAGTGGGGGGCTGAGGCATCTGTTGCAATGGAGGTGGTTGTAGTCTGGGTGGAGGTAGTTGCATAGAAGCAGCAGCAGCTGCTGCTGCCTGCAACACTGACCGAGTAACAATCTGGGCTTGTTGACTGGGCTGTATAGTAGCTGTGCTGCTTTGGCCTAGTTGGATCCCCCTGGAGGTCACCACTGTGGCTGGAATAACAGTAACCATCCCTCCTTGGGACATGGTAATAGATGAGGGCAACACCTGTTTAGTAATAATCAACTTGGTGATATTAGGCTGACCCCCAGCCCCAGAAGTTGCCTGATTTGCCACATAGGATGAAAGAGTAGAGTTAACAACAATGGAAGGAGACAGGGTAGGGGGCTCTGTTGAGGCTGGTGCTGGAGATGCCGGGTCAACAGTAGCAACAGGAGGTGGAGAAGGAGTCTGTGATGGTGGCACTGGATCCAGCTCTACAGTTTCCACAGTGGCCTAAAAGACGACCAAAAGAAAAAAAAAAAAAAGCCTTTCAGAAATTTACTGTATTCCCTGGGACATATTCACTTTAATTACCTCCCAAAAGACAATGATAGGTTGGGGGGGGGGGGGGGGTGAGGGGGCCGGGGAGGAAAACAACAGCTGTGGGTGCTACCCTGTCTAAAGTAAACAATAAAAACAAACTCACAAAGACTGTTTAGTAAGATTTATGATGGGACCAACAAGAAACCTGCTGTATATGTTTCTAAGCTTTAACTAGTTATTAAGAGGTTGCACAGGTTTTTTGGTGGTATTATCTATACTAATAAAAGGATAATATCCTAATTAGACCAGGCATATTCCAGATTCCTTTTGGAAAAAGCCATTGGTAGTGAGGGCCGAGGTAGAGGTGGTTAGGGGCAATCAGGCAGGCAGGCAGGTGAGCAGTTAGGAGCTAGTGGTCCCCGATTGCAAGAGGGGTCCTGGATTGGAGAGGGTTCAGGCCGGGTTGAGGGACTCTCCCACACCCCCTCCCTAACCCCTGCCCATGCACGAATTCCATGCACTAGGCTCTAGTAACTATTAAACAGCTTGAAAAATATTTTATTGGTTTAAATATCCATCTGCCATAACCCTCTTACCTGACACTCTTGATTGTCTTTATAAGCAGCCAGAGCTTTTAGATACTCTTTCTTGGCAGCCTCAGTTTTCCTCTTATATACCTGCAGGAAAGAAAAACTGCTTAAGAAGTGCCCAAACGCCTAGAAAAGACTGATAATTCTTTTTTTAAAAAAATATATTTTATTGATTTTTCACAGAGAGGAAGAGAGAGGGATAGAGTGTTAGAAACATCGATGAGAGAGAATCATCGATCAGCTGCCTCTTGCACACCCCCTACTGGAGATGTGCCCACAACCAAGGTACATGCCCTTGACTGGAATCGAACCCAGGACCTTTCAGTCCGCAGGCCGACACTTTATCCACTGAGCCAAACTGGTCCCAGCAAAAGACTGATAATTCTATTCATCACTGAATGACAATCTCAATCTGAATACTGACAACTCCAGCTTGGCCAGTGTTGCTCAGTGGTTGAGCATCGATCTATGAACCAGAAGGCCATGGTTTGATTCCCAGTCAGGGCATATGCCTGGATTGTGGGCTTTCTCTCCAGTGTAGGTTGTGCAGGAGTTAGCTTATCAAAGATTCTTTCTCATCACTGATGTTTCTCTCTCTCTCTCTAAAATCAATAAAGATATATGTATTTTTAAAATAAGTACTGGCAATTCCCTTTTAGTGAACATACTTTTGAAAGCTAGTAATCAAGACAGCCTCCATGCCAGACTTTCCAGTGACCAAGCATCTGAAAGCCAGCCAATCGACAAGAATCTTGCCAACCCTGGCTGGTTTGGCTCAGTGGACAGAGTGTTGGCCTACAGACTGAAGTGTTCCAGGTTTGAGTACTGGTCAAGAACACATGCCTGGGTTGTAGGCTCGATCCCCAGTAAGGGGAGTGCAGGAGGCAGCCAGTCAATGATTCTCTCCCATCATTGATGTTTCTATTTCTCCCTCTCCCTCTCTGAAATTAATAAAAAAGGAAAAAAGAAAACTAAACCTAATAAAAGAAAAGAGCCGAAACCGGTTTGGCTCAGTGGATAGAGTGTCGGCCTGTGGACTGAAAGGTCCTGGGTTCGATTCCAGTCAAGGGCATGTACCTTGGTTGTAGGCACGTCCCCAGTACGGGGCGTGCAAGAGGCAGCCAATGACTCTCTCTCATCGATGTTTCTAACTCTATCTCTCTCCCTTACTCTCTGAAAAAAATCAATAAAATATATATATTTTTTTTTAAAAAAAGAAAGAAAAGAATCTTGCCAGAATAACTACACTTCTAAAGTTAACACCAACCCACGCCCACTTCGATTAGCAAAACAAATCCTGACCCCCAAATTATTTCAGATCAGTAGTCTGCATAGCCTAGGATTGTGCCTAACCAGTATACTCTCCTTAAAAAATGTGTTAAATTAAAGTTGCTGAAACCAGTTTGGCTCAATGGATAGATCGTTGGCCTGCGGACTGAAAGATCCCGGGTTCGATTCCGGTCAAGGACATGTACCTTGGTTGCAGGCACATCCCCAGTAGAGGATGTGCAAAAGGCAGCTGATCGATGATTCTCCCTCATCAATGTTTCTAACTCTGTATTTCTCACTCTTCCTCTCTATAAAAAAATCAATAAAATATATATATTTTTAAAGTGTTAAATTGTTTGCAATGATGGCTACAAGAACTCTTTCTATTTTGTATACCTCTTCTTCCATTAAGAGCTGAGTCTTTCTTTGAATTTGCTCTTTCTTTGAATCTGGGCTAGCTCTATGAATTTCGTTGAACATTAAAATGGGCTGAAGTGCCAGGCTGGGAGCGGCCAGGCCCGAAGCAGCCGGGCCCAGAGCAGCAGCAACCAAGCCCAGAGCAGCCAGGCCCGGAGCAGCAGCAGCCAGGCCGGGAGCGGCAGTGGCCAGACCCGGAGCAGCTGGTTGTGGAGCAGACCAGAGCAACAGAGGCCACGCCCGGAGCAGCCAGGCCCAGAACAGCTAGCTCCTTGCCTGCCCATGCCCCAGGGCTGCCTCTCAGACGTGGCTGGAAACTTTTGAGGGAACTTGAGGGTCTGCTGAATCAAGTGATGAAGGCTTAGATCTGGATGTGTTGAGTTAGTATAGCACTGGGGTGTTGATCTGTGAGTGCCTTGTGTGGGGTCTGGATGAGGTTGGTTGATCTATTTGGAAATGTCTTTTGTTTGAAGTGTATACTTGGGCATGTGGAGGTATTATTGATTTGAGAAAATGCTAAATAACTGATTTACTATCTGAAAAATTTAAAGTTCTGAAAGTTTAAGGTCTCTTGCCAAAAAGAGGTTTTAAAGCTAACACCTTTATTTTAATGGAGAAAGGGGAGGACAAGCCCTTCCCACCCAGAACAGGTAATCCAATTCCAACCAGCAGCTATCTTTAAACAATGTGTTCATTTACATTTGAATGACTACACCTTTTGATAGCCTAAAGGCAAGTCTACATATAAACAAGTTTGCTTGTCAATTCCCAGGGCAGAAAAAAACAAGGTTTAAAATTATTAGATTTTAAAATTTATTCTTAGAAGTGTAAAAGTTTATTAATTAAAAAAAAAAAACAAAACACAAAAAACAACAACAAAAAAAGGAGATTGAAAAACCTGATGAGCAATATTAGCTGTTGACTATAGTAGAGTCAGCGATATGGGAAAGGGGGAGTGGTGGATGTGGGAAGAGACTGAATATAAACTGTGCACCTACGGATGAGGACCATGGGGGGTGGGAGGGGGCGGAGGGTGGAGTGGGAACCTGGTGGAGGGGGGAAGAAATGAGGAACCTTTGTAATAATATGAACAATAAAGAGTGATTAAAAAAAAAATTAAAAAATAAATAAATAAAATGTGGCTGAAGTGACACAAAAAATCTTGGGCATCTGTTTTTGTCCTCTTGGATCACTGGTCAACATTTGCCATACTGTAAAGCAGCTAGTCTAAATGTGGAAGATAGAGGCCGTATGAAGGAGGTAGCAGCAAATGCCAGACATGGGAGCAAAGTAACCCTGGCCAGCCACACCAGCTGTCCCTTGACTACAACCACGGGAACGTGCCCAGGAAAGAACATTAGGAAAACCACCCAATCAATTTGAAGAATCATGGGAAATAATAAATTGCCATTTAAAAAATTTGTGGTGCTTTGAGTAGCAACAGATAACTAATACAGTTATCTAGAATAAATTTATTTATTTATTTATTTTAAATATATTTTATTGATTTTGTACAGAGAGGAAGGGAGAGAGACAGAGTGTTAGAAACATCGATGAGAGAGAGTCATCGATCAGCTCCTCTTGCAGACCCCCTACTGGGGATCTGCCCGCAGCCAAGGTATATGCCCTTGACCGGAATCTATCCCGGGACCCTTCAGTCCCCAAGCCGACGCTCTATCCATTCAGCCAAACCGGTCCCGGCTAGAATAAATTTATTCTTTTTAAACTAAGTAGCAATTTCTCTTTCACACAAAACCTGGCTAGTGTATGATAATTATAGCCATATCAATTCTATCCTTTATTACATAGTATCACAATTTTCATTATTTATTTATTTTAAATTCCAGAGGCCCATTCGTGCACTGGAGGGTCCCTCAGCCCAGCCTGTGCCCTCTTGCAGTCTGGGACCCCATGGGGTCCTTTGCACTGCCACAGAGCTGGGAGGCTCCCACCACCACTGCTGTGCTTGCCAGCCATGAGCCCTATGGGAGCGCACTGACCACCAGGGGTGGTCAAAAGCATTGATTAGCTAACTTTTGCATGCCCCTATGTGCCCTGACCGGGGTTCACACTCAACTACTGAGCTTGATGGCCAGGCACAATTTTCATTAAAAAAATATATATATCCACATTAAATTTAGGGAGATTAATCATACACGTATTTTAAGTGTAAAATAAGCCAATGAGAAAATTCCTAAATTCTATAATAGATCCAAACTTAGTAGATTTTAGAGTTAGCCACAACATGCAATTTATGAAGAAACAGCCTAATTTTACAGTGGGGGGAAAAAATGAGGCTTAGAAAAGCTAGATTCAGTGTTTCTATAATAATTGATACTTTTTAGTTAGTATATGGCTGCAGCTTCTAAGACAAAGGATAATCTGTAAATGACATTAACAAAGAGGTGATAAAAAAACACGTAAGAAAGTTAAAATAAAACAAGTTTCATCATCCCTTTACTTAAAAACTTCTAGAACATTCTCTATCCACTAGTTCCTCATTATTTGCTTACCTGTTTTTGCTCCTCTCCAAGACTGTCCCACATGGATGCCACAATTTTTGAAACTTCTCCAAAAGTGGCATTGGGATTCTGTCCCTTGATGGCAGCCTGTGTATCACGAAAGAATAAGGCATATGCTGAAACTGGTTTCTGAGGTTCATTAGGATCTTTCTTTTTCCTCTTCTTTGGGGTCTTCTGCTTTTTCCCTGCTTCCACAACAACTGTCTTCTGGCTAGGAAGTTGCTGCAGGGGAAAAAGAGAGAATTACAAGAAGGAAGAAGGGAAGTATATCTGGAGAACTATAAGAAAAGGACTTTTATATGGGGAAACTAGCTACGTGGAGAAATTTTCAGAAATACTAAAAATAGAGGCAATAGGATTAAGATATTAATAAAGTATATGGGGTCCAATAAGAATGAAGAATGGGAGGAACTTTACACATTATAAATTGAGAGGCAGGACCCCATACCCAGAAAAGACCAGAGGAGATGGCAGAACAGGTGTAAAGTTCTCTGTGTGCCAAGAGTTTTATCCCAGAATATCAGGGCAGATTTCATTTTTGGCAGGGAATGCCTCACCCTCCGGAAATCCTCAACACCATCCTCATGAAGTGAATTAGTAGGTGAAGGGGTGGTTGAAAGACGATCCTCAGGTGACTGGGCAGGTGGAAGAATGGTACCACCCCCTAAGCTTAAACCAAGTTGAGAACTCAGTTCGGACTGATCAATGGTGGTCAACTGGTTATGCCCCATCAAGCCAGACGTCATGTCTGTCATTGGTACATCAATTGTAACAGGTGGGTTGGCGCTATACTGAGTTCCTATAGAATGGTCCAAGTCCTGAGAAAAACAGAAGGACTAATTAAACATTAAATATAAAGAATACCACTCTTCCCCCGACCGAGTTCAGGACAGTTTATAAACACCCTACTCATCTACATTGTATCATTGTTTAGACTCTAAACATAAAATAATTTGTCTACATAATAAAACATTAAGTTTTTTAATAAAGTACATAAATTAGTAAAGTCACTTCTTTGTATTCCAAAGCCTGTTTTAAAACAACTAAAAATAACCAGAGGTCTTAATTTTGGACAAATTAAAGAGTTAATAAATTATTTGGTAATCTGGAGGTAGTAATGACACAAGGATTAAAGAAAAACTTCTGTGTACACTGCTAAAATGATGGATTTTAAAGTTGCAATACACAGGCAATCGAGTAATAAGGCTGAAGTCAAGATGTTTCATATCAAATGTGTGGAGATGTGCTATTAATGAGATGTGCTGAAAGCCCAATATACTGATTTATAACACTTACTGACCCACAGTTAATACATTTTGTTCAGACTGTTTTTGAATAAATCAATGTGCCAGCTATCACATGCACATTTGGATTCTAGGATGATGAAGGCTATATTAAAAGGGGGAGACTGCTTGCAAATCACAACAAATCATCTTCAATTCAGAATTAATCTTCAGGTGACTGGACACTTTACTATTTTAAACCATTTTTCAAGTAAAATTCACTCAGATGATACATTTCATTCATTCAATGTACTTTAAGTCTTTATCAATGAGCCTTCATCCACAAGAGAAACATGTAATACTCAAGTGCAATAGGGAACAGAATCCCTTTTATCTTCCCTAACACCATCCCTAGGAGCTTGGGTAAGCCTGAACATATCTTGCCCCTTACCATGGTCAAGCCCCCACTCAGGAGCCCCCCGCCCTGCTCCATCAAGCCATGAGTCATGCCCACAGGCATGTCCAATGTCTGGACCCCATATTGGGCTGAAAAGCTGCCATCCTGAGAGGAGGATGGGTCTGCCAGATCATCAAAGTGGCCAACCACATCTGAGACAGCCAGTGTCGGATCAGAATCCAAGGAGATGGGTGGGATTTCAAACTCCTCATCACCAAGGCTTGGTGTATGGAATGTCTGTAAGGGGGAAAAAGAGAGGAAAAATAATTAGTGGGAACAGGAGAAATTGTATACTTCTAAGTGAAGAACATGGCTGAGTACTGAGAATTCTCAGTGTACCTCTTCCCAACCTGGATCCTATTTTTGTTATCAATTTCTTAGGACCTGGTTAGTTTTACAAATAAATCTCTCTTTCTCATATCCTTGGATGTATGGCATATACAAAGCTGTCAACATCAATAACAATTTTGAATTTTTTTTTATCCCTTCTACTTTTATCATCTCAGCGGCCCTAAAATATTATGTCTATTATTCTAATGAAAAATCCTTTCAGCAGCATGAGTAACGACTCAGACTTTATTACCTGTTTAGCTATATGAAAGTCTCTCCAAAGATTCTAAAGATTTCACTACTACTACGCCTAAGCTGTTAGACCACAGAAATTCATTGTCAACCTGACAATTATATTCTGTTGTTTTATGTTCCTTTGAAACTTTTCCTATCATGGGTACCTTATCTCCCTCTAAAATGTATGCACTTAGAGTTTGCTATATCTTTTCCATTTTAGAAATCATAATGTTAACAACAAATAAGATTCCTATTTGTATAGTATTTTTGAAAAATCCAACAATGCCAAAATAAGGATAATAGTGAAGAGAAAAACATAAGAGCTACTGTCAAAAGACAAACTGGTGCTCACTCTGGCAGCGTGTAAACTAAAATTGGATGATTAATTAGCATGGCCCCTGCACATGATGAAACGCAAATTCATGAAGCATTCCATAATTATTTTTTAAATGGCAAACTGGTTTTTTATCAGCTCCTGAACATAATCTTGCTCTGACTAAGCCTTTCTGTTAAGTGAGGAAGAAAAAGATTACTCCAGCTGGCTAAAGACTCAATCCCTTCCTCTGAGTACAACTACAAAAATAATACACTCTTTCTATTCCGAATGGGGCCACCACACACAGAGCTAACAGACCAATTGCTGACATAAGACACATTAAATGTTACGGTTTCTTTTGACATTAAAAAATTAAAATGGCACCCAGCAGGCGTGGCTCAATGTCTGGATGTTGACCTATGAATCAGACGGTCATGGTTCGATTCCTGGTCAGGGCACAGGCCCGAGTTGAGGCTCAATCCCCACAACCTTGGAGTATTGGGACAGCACTCTAACCAACAAGGGCTTACATGACACCAAAATTTCAGTTCAGATTCATGTGAGTACTTTTCAGGAAGTGGGTACAAAGATTTTTTTTTAAAACAAATTCTCATGCAAACAAACAAGCTACAGAGACAGGAAAAAGGACAGGGGAAACATTTATTATGCTAGATCAATATTACATAATAGTTTGAAAAAATTTTAAAGATACAGATTGTTTTGGCAAAGTAAAAGATGCCTATCCACAACAAATGATGCTTACCATACAAATAAAAAAGCAACTCTGCTGAGATACGAAATGATTTGTTAATGAAAATTCTAAAAGAATAAAAAGTCATGTCCAAAATAAGAGACCAGTGTTCTACAAAGGACTAACCCTCATAAACCATCTGGAGTGCTCTCATGCACTACACTAAAAAAACATACATGCAGAGATTCCATTGTATCGAATTAACAAGGCATTCTTTGTATGTACAACCTCCTGAAAACATCTTTGTTAGTCATTATCTGTGGCTTTAATGGTATTGTCTATGTTTTGGGGGGAGAGCGGGGAGGTGGGTTGCGTTGTTTTGCTTATTTGATTTTCTTCCTTTAAGTAGAAAGAGTAAAATAATGGCAATGAGCCCTAGCTGGTTTGGCTCAGTGGATAGAGCATCGGCCTGTGGACTCAAGGGTCCCAGGTTTGATTCCAGCCAAGGGCACAAGCCTTGATGTGGGCTCAATCCCCAGTAGGGGGCGTGCAGGAGGCAGCTGATCAATGATTCTCTCTCATCATTGATGTTTCTATCTCTCTCCCTCTCCATTTTTAAAATCAGTAAAAATATATTTTAAAAATAATGGCAATGAATAAGAATACAGAAGGGTAAACCACATGCTAGAATAAATACAGAGATTCTCTCTAAATCCCTTTACTACACCAATGATTTGAAAGATTATGATTAAAATCCAATTATGAAAATCCAAACTTATTTTAGTGGATCTACTACATAACTAGATCATATTCTAGACTATCAAATATAAAACAAAGGTAACTAGCAAATATCAAAGTAAATATAAATGATATGAGCATAGGAGAAAACAGAAACATGATGAAGTTACCTTCTCACTAAGCTTTTTTTTTCCTTCTCTGTTAAATTTCTGGGCCTTTTAGGGGGAAGAAGCAGTTTGGGTATTACAGTTTATAAAATAAAGAGGTTGCCCAGCTGGTATGAATCAGTGGTTGAGCACTGACCTATGAACCAGGAAGTCATTGTTTGATTCCCCGGTCAGGACACATGACTGAGTTGTGGGCTCGATCCCAAAAGTGGGGTATGTAAGAGGCAGCTGATCAATGGTTCTCTCTTGTCATTGATGTTTCTACCTCTCTCTCCCTCTCCCTTACTCTCCGAAATAAAAAATATATACTAATAAAAGGGTAATATACTAATTAGACTAGGAGAACTTCCGGGAGACCTTCTGGAAGGACATCCTTCTGGACAAAGTCATGGTGGCTTGGCCGAGGCAGAGTTGGTTAGGGACGATAGGGCTGGTGTAGAGGGGAAATTGGGGGCAAGCAGGCTGGTGGGGGATGGGGGAGGAGGGAGACAGTTGGGGGCGATAAGGCAGGGAAGGGGGGATAGCTGGGAGCGAGCAGGCTGGCAAGGGGGGGCAGTTGAGGCAATCAGGCCAGCAGGGGAGGGCAGTTGGTGGTGAGCTGGCCAGCAAGGGGGGCAGTTGGGGAGCGAGCAGGCCAGCAAGGGGAGGGGGGTAGTTGGGAGTGATCAGGCTGGCAGGGGGGCAGTTATGGGTATTCAGGCCAGAAGGGTGGGGCAGTTAGGGGTGTTCAGGTTGGCAGGCAAGTAGGTGAGCAGTTAGGAGCCAGTGGTCCCAGACTGCAAAAGGGAGCACTGTGGGATTGGCCCTAAACTGGCAGTCGGACATCCTGAGGAGTCCCAGAATGGAGAGGGTGCAGGCTGGGCTGAGGGACTCCCCCCACCTCCCATGCACAAATATCATGCACCAGGCCACTAAGGAGGCTTACCTATTGAGGGAACAACAATAAAAAACTAACAACCATTTCCTTCCCATTTCACACTCCCATACCAAAACACACAATCCAGCATTTTAGTTTCTTGTGTAAATTACTCATTTTAAAGAAATTTAATCCAATACATATTTATTCAATAGTACACTAGTACCATGTGTTATTTAAATAATTTATTGTTCTTAAAAACTGACGTAGTAGCCCTGGCTGATATCATTTGGTTGGGAGTCAGCCCTAGCACTCAAAGATTGCCAGTTCCATTCCTGTAAGGGTAAATGCCCAGGTTGCAGGCTCCATCCCCAGTAGAGGGCGTGCGGAAGCAAGCAGCTGCTCTATGTCTTGCTCTCACATCAATGTTTCTCTCTCTCTCTCTCTCTCTCTCTCTCTCTCTCTCTCTCTCTCTCTCTCTCTCTCTCTTTCTTCTCCCAAAAATCTATTAAACTGATATAGTAGTGATTTTTAATTATTCAGCCTAAAATCATTAACTGGTTCTAATGTTATAAATGCTATTTCTAATTAAAGTTTACTTATGACCCAAAGTGCTCAAAACACCATCTATACTAATAGAAGGGTGATATGCTAATTAGACTGGGAGACCTTCTGGACAAAGCCATGGTGACAGGGCTGAGAGAGAGACAGTTAGAGACAATCAGGCCAGGAGGGGAGGGCAGGTGGAGGCGCAGGCTGGCAGGGGGAGCCCAGTTTGGGGCGGGAAGGCCGGCAAGATGGGAGCAAGCAGGCTGGCAGGCAAGGGCAGTTGAGATGATCAGAACAGCAGGGGGGACAGTTGAGGATGAGCAGACTGGCAGGCGGGGGCAGTTGGGGATGAGCAGACTGGCAGGCGGGGGCAGTTGGAGATGAGCAGGCCTGCAGGAGGGCAATTTGTGAGCATGCAGGCAGAGTAGTTAGAGGCAATCAGGCAGGCAGGCAGGTAAGTGGTTAGGAGGCAGTGGTCCTGGCTTGTGAGAGGAATGTCTGACTGCCGGTTTAGGGATCGGGCCTAAACCATCAGTCAGACATCCCCCAAGGGGTCCCAGATTGAAGAGGGTGCAGACCAGGCTAGGAGACACCACCCCCTTCATGAATTTCATGCAGTGGGCCACTAGTATCATTATATAGGAGCCAACCTGAATGAAACAAAAGATTAAATTCCTTTAGATTATAGACTTTTCCTATCTCAAACAATGTTATAACAAATGCTAAGCTTTTCTCTCTGGACATGTACTCTTTAAAAATTATTTTTTATTTACTGAAGCATAACTTATATGTACACAAATTTTAAATATATATTTCAATGGACTTTTTTACATATGCTAACATCCAATTAACCACCACTCAGATCAAGGATACAGATATTTCTATCACTCCAAAATATTCTCATGCTCCTTCCCAGTCAATGTTCCCTCCTTCCACAACAAATATCACTATTCTGATTTATATCATTACTAGAGGCCCAGTGCACAAAATTCATGCATGAGAGGGGGGGGTCCCCTCAGCCCAGCCAGCACCCTCTCCAATCCAGGACCCCTTGGGGGATGTCCGACTGCTGTTTTCAGACCTCTCTCTCACAATCCTGGACCACTGGTTCCTAATCGCTCACCTGCCTGCTGGTCAGGTCGCCTCCAACTGCCCCACCCCCGCCAGCCTGGTCACTCCTTACTGCCCCCCTCCACCAGCCTGTTTGCCCCTCACTGCCCCCACTGCCGGCCTAATTTGCCCCAAATGCACCCCTCCCCCGCCGGCCTGGTCACCTCTTACTGCCCTCCCAAGCCCCTTCTTCCCCCAACTGGTTGCCCCACACAGCCTGTTATTCAGTCATTTGGTCATCCCTCACTAACCCCCCTGTTGGCCTGGCCATAGGCAATCATCTTGTGAGGTGTGAGGGTTAATTTGCATATCACCTCTTTATTATGTAGGAGTTTAGTATTGCATATTTCTTCATTAAAAATAAACTCATGTTGTGTCTATTCTTTTATGTCTGGCTTCTGTTGCTTACATTATAATTTTGAGATCATCCAAATTGCATTTATTAATAGTTCATTTTTTATTACTGTGTAGTATTCCTTTTTTCAGATGTAGCAGTTTACAGACACTTGGGTTGTTTCCAATGGTTAGCTACTATGATGCTGTGAACATAAATGTTTTTGGTGAATATATGTACTCATTTGTCTCATATGTGTATCAAATAGTGGAATCATTAGGTCACAGGGTAGGTATATGCTTATCCTTTAAAAAAATATATATATTTTATTGATTTTTTACAGAGAGGAAGGGAGAGAGAGTTAGAAACATCAATGAGAAAGAAGCATTGATCAGCTGCCTCCTGCACACCCCCACTGGGGATGTGCCCGCAACCAAGGTACATGCCCTTGACCGGAATTGAACCTGGGACCCTTCAGTCTGCAGGCTGACGCTCTCTCCACTGAGCCAAACCAGCTAGGGCATGTTATATGCTTATCCTTAGTAGATACTGTCAGTTTTCCAAAGTGGTTGAATCAATTTACACTCTTACCAGCAGGGTGCTGGCTGGGCTGAGGGGACCCCCCCCCCCCCTCATGCATTACCAGAAAGAGTTATCTACTTCCTTGTCAACTCTTGGAATTGTCAGTCTTTTTTATTTTAAACATTCTGGTGGATATGCAATGGGATGTCCTTGATTTTAATTTGCATTTCTCTGATGAGTGATGATGACACTTTTTCAGATGCCTAGTGACAATTTGGATTTGTTCTTTTGTGAAGTATGTGTTCAAATCTTTTGCCCATATTAGCATTATCAGGTGATCGCTTCCTAAGTTATATAAATGTGTAGTCACTATGTTGTACACCTAAAACTAATATAATATTGTTTGACAATTGTAATAAAAAAAACAGGGAGGCGGGATTTAAACAAAGGTCTCTCCATCACCATGCATTGCCTCCTATCATGACATAGAATTCAGCACCTAGAAAGTACTCAATATAATGAATGCCGTAGCTGAGTAGCTCAGTTGATTAGAGCATTGACCCACATGTCAGATTGCAGATTCAATCCACGCTCAGGGCACAACCAATGAGTACATAAATGGGTAGGACAACAAATTGATGTCTCTCTCTCTCTTACCTTTCTCCCCTTTTCTAAAAGAAAAAAATTTTAAATTACCTTTACTACCCTGTTTCCCCGAAAATAAGACAGTGTCTTATATTAATTTTTGCTCCCAAAGATGCGCTAGGTCTTATTTTCAGGGGATGTCTTATTTTTCCATGAAGAAGAATATGGTACACATTTATTGTTAAATGAAAATAAAGGAAATTTATTATCTGTGTACAGTACGGTAGTACGGTAGTTGTCAACACAAACCAGACAAACTGTGAATCCTACAGTATCAAAAATTTACTCATTTATTCAATGACAATCATGTCATCATCTTCTGGATCATCATCATAACAATCCAATCCCTGAATTTCCTGGTGAATTTCTTGTGACTCCATTTCTCTCAGAATCATGTTTAGCCTAGAGGGGCCTTATTTTCGAGGGGATGCCTTATATTTCACTCAGAAGGAAACCTGTAAGAAGGTCTTATTTTCGGAGGATGTCTTATTTTCGGGGAAACACGGTAGTTCTGAGTGGCTCACTATAAGACCAGATACAACAAAAACCATAATCTGATTAAAATAGAGCTTAAAAAACAAAACAAAACAAAACAAAACAAAAAACGGGAAATGAAGGTGAAGCGGCAATGAGGAGAAGGACTATTAACAATGACAAGGTCCCGAGCTAAAGGAAGCCACTGAAATTTAGTTATCAGCTTCTTGCCAAAGTATTTTTGTCTTTATAAACGTCTTAAAGTCATAAAAGCAAAAACAAAGGACAGGCTCAAACCCAGAAAGTTTCTAGAGGTGGACAATGTGAAATTACCGCAGCTTAGAGAAATTTAAATGTGGAGACCTGATTTAGAAGAAATTGGCAATGATGCACTTTCTTTTAAGTGAGTCTTTTTAAAAAAATACATTTTTTTAAAAAATTGTTTTTAGAGGGACAGAGAGAAACATCAATGATGAGAGAGAACCCTTGATCAGCTGCATCCTGAACCTCCCTACTGGGGGTCCAGCCCGCGGCCAGGCATGTGCCATTGACCAGAATGGAACCGACCGCCTGGTTGATATAGCTCCACGCTCAACCGCGGAGCCACGCCAATACTTCTATTTATCAACATCACAAGAGACAACCATTGTGGCCATCTGACAGCTGGAGAGACTGTGGCATGCAAAGGTGAAGCAACCTGAGTCACTGGCAAACAGACGCACATGCCTCACTCCTTTCATGTTCTCTGGTTAACGACTTCCTTTCGTCCTGTCACTTAGCAAAACAAGCTAACTCTTGTTTTTTTATCGCTGAGTAGGTCATTTGAACTAAACAAAGACCCCCTTCCACAGAGTTGTTCCAAGAAGGAACACATGCCCACGGTTAACCCCTTCCAGGCCATGCTCCTTCCCTCCGCACCCCAGTTTCTTCAGCTGAAATGTGCTCTTCCCCCTGCCATTCCCTCAGGATCGTCCCTGCAGTTACTCCCTCCACCCCCCTCCCCCCCCAGAGGAGACAGTTCCCCTCCGTCTTCCCCTCCGGGGGCACTCGGAAGCAGGTTAGCTCTTTCCCCCGCCCCGCCTTTCTGGTGACAGCAGCCCCCAGGCCTCCCCGCTAGTCCTCAGGGTCCAGAAGAGTCTGGGTGCCAACGGCGGCCCCGGCCGCCGGCCCCGGCCCCGGCCCAGGCCCAGGCCCCGGCCCTCGCCTCCCCTCCGCCCCTGCCCTGCCCCCGCGCCCGCAGCCCGTGCTCACCTCGGCCCCTGACAGGAAGGGGTGTGAGGGCCCTGTGATCGTCAGGTAATTGTCGTTTCCTCCGGGAAACTGGGAGCCAAAGGAAAGCCGCGGGGAGAAGTGAGGCGAGAAGGCAATGTTAGCTTGGAGTGACCGAGGCTGACCCCGACATTCAGACCACAACTGCTCCCCTCCCCTCCAACCCCGCTCCCTCTGCAGCCCCGTCAACCGCCCCGCCGCCCCGCGTCCCGCCTCCGCTCCAAGCCAGCCGGCCGCGCTCTCCCGGCAGCCTGCTCAGCGCTCAAGTTCTCACCTCCATCTTCACACACAACGGTTACCGGTTACCGCCGCCTCAGTCCCCGCATCGTCCCCACCGCCCCCACTGGGCCCGCGGCTGCCGTCACTTCCGCGAGGACGCGTCACTCGCCGCCGATTGGAAGGCGCGCCTGCCGTCGCGACTCCTGCCGGGAAGGCCCAGCGGGCGGGGACACCAGCCACACCGCCCCCTGGGGGTGGGAGGACTATGGCACGCCGGCGTGCTAGCGGCGTCCCGGGAGGCGGCGTCTGAGGGCCGCCGGCGCTCCCACCCGGAGAGGGTTTCTGGGGAGAGCAATAGAGACGCGAGCGGGACTAGAGGGGCCAGAGATGGGCGGCGTGAGTGGCTAGAGAGGCCGGAGGTAAGTGGCTGTTGAAGTCGGGCGGACCCGGAATCCAGAGGAAACAGGACCATGACTTATGCGTATCTCTTCAAATACATAATCATCGGGGACACAGGTAACCGGCGGGCGGCGGCCCTCCTGGCCGGGGCGGGGATCCCCAGCTCCCTTATCAGGCCGTGGGGGCGGGGCTCGGGAGGCTGGGCGGTTGAGGTGAGAGCGGGCGGGGGCGGGGCGGGGCGGGGCTGCGGGGCGGGGCCCGGGGTCTCCCTCCCCCAGCCCCCGGCTCCGGACTCTGCCCTGCTCCCGGCCGCGGCCACGTGAAGGCCGGCATGTGCACCTCCTCTTGCAGGTGTGGGGAAGTCATGTCTCCTCCTGCAGTTCACAGACAAGCGGTTCCAGCCTGTCCACGACCTCACCATAGGTAAGTGCCTGTGCCTATCAGAGCAGACAGTGAAACCCGACGAGCTAACGTGGAAAAGTTAGCAGCCTTCTGAGCTGGAAGTAAAAAGTTCGCTTCCCCTCCTTTTAAACTAAGTCCCAAGTTACGTTAAATGAAGAGTGGACAATCACATGCTGTAAATGGGGAATAGCGGAATGGGGAGTAAATCATTGAAAGGTAACTTTAGAAACAAACGTGAGGTATGAATTAGTTGCTGTAGGATTTTTTTTTTTCTCCCCAAACGCAATGTGAATGTTTATGGAAAATTGCACGAAAGCATAATGTACAAACTCGCTTTGTGGGGAAATTGCGGGTAACCTCACGTATGTTTTGTAAAGCAATTACCAATGTGTAGTCTTTTTGTGTGTTGGAGAGGAAGAAGCAAATTGAAGAGCCATCCCAGACTTATTAAGAGCTAGATGAAATTAATCCTATATAATAAAGAGGTAATATGCAAGTTGACTGTCATGCCATCACAAGATGGTGGTGCCCTGCCACCTTAGTTCCCTCAGCCCTGCTGGGGGCCTTGGGTCCTCCTGCACCCCCCACTGACTGAGGCTCAGGTAACCAGGGCTAGCCAAGGCTTGCAGTGGCAGCAGCAAAGGTGTGATGGGGGCGTCTTCTCCCCCTGATTGCCTGGGTTGCCTCCCACTTCTGAGGTCTCCAGAACTGTGAGAGGGGGCAGGCTAGGCTGAGGGACTCGCCTCCGTTCACCCTTCCTCCCCCATGAATTTTCATGCACCAGGCCTCTAGTAATTTATAAAGAAAAGGGTATGTTGGGTTCCAAAAAATGCACTGGTGATCCTGGAAAGTATAAGCATCTCCCACACATTTGTGATAAGGCATGGCCTGCTGAGGCCTTAGTATCCCCATCCTCATTATGTCCATAACTTCACCCCAAAGAAATGTATAAACTAGCCTTCTTGCCATGCAAATGTAGTTTCTGAATAAAACCCTGACTCCCATTCTTACCATATTGCCACCTCGAAGCCCCAGGATATGGAGATCTGTAGCTACTACTGCTTCCAAAGGACTTACCCAGAGCCAAAAGCTAATGTGGTTACAAGAGGATAGCATCAGTAGGAAAATATTTTTGGAAATGAATATTAAGTGGACACTCACACCATGATAGATGCTAATGATACAGTGCTTATTAACAAGGCAAACTTTGCCCTTAAGTAGCTTATAATCTTCCAATGTAGGAGGTAGAGCTGGGAGTAGATACAGAGTAGTGACAAGTAAATTCCTATTGCAAAAGAGGAGAGACTGCTACCTCTCTCAGGAAAGGTTGAGAGTTGAAGAATGAGCAAGAGTTAGCCAGGCAAAAGGTTGTAGAGATGGGGAAAAGTGATCAGGGCAAGAAGGAATAATAACATGAAAAGGCTTAGGAATGATGGAGGTTAGGGATGATCGGTCTGGCTTCCTTTGAAAAACTGAAAGTAGTTTAATATGGCTGGAGCATAGAGTTTGGAGTGGAGAGTGGTAAAAATAAAAGGTAGAAAATAAGTTAGGGACCAAGTTTTGAAATACCCTGAGTAATAGGAGGAAATGACAAGTTTTAAATCTGAAGAATGATGTGATCAATCATGTTTTCCCCCAGAGTCCATTTAGGCTCTGTTTCTTTCCTCTGTACCAAGATAAATGCAGTCTTCTGTACCAAGATAAACAAGGCAGTTGGATAGAAAACATGTGCAAAACATGAGCATCTCTGAGTGCCTAACTAGAGAAAGTTGCATAAAAGTTTTGTGGGGTTTTTTTGTTTTTTTTTTAACCTTCCCCATTGAAATTCCATTTCTATTTTCCAGAAAGGGCAAGGGTGGGAGTGCAGAAATTAGGGACATTTTTCAGTAGCTATCACTATTCTTTATTTTTATTATTTATTATTATTTTTAAATTATTATTTCAGAGAGGAGAGGGAGAGAGTGATAGAAACATCTGTGATGAGAGAGAATCATTGATGATCCTCCTGCAACCCCTCCTCCGGCCCGACCCCCGACCCCCGGGGATGAAGCCCAGCACCCAGGCATATGCCCTGACCTCCTGGTTCATAGATTGTCGTCCAACCACTGAGCCATACTGGCGGGGCCGGTTTTTAAATTTTGTCTTGATGTTACCTTGAAAGAAGATGGATGCCAGAAAAACCAAAACCTTTATTCAGACTGTCAGTTTCCATACTCCTATGAGGAAAGCTATTTTCTAGTGAACTCTGGGAATTTTTGGAGGTCTTAAATGTATCATTCTTAGGTAGGATCTTTTGTCAAATAAAAAATTCTGGAATTGCAAAAATTAGAAATATTGTTTTATATAGAGGACTTAAGAATGAGTTGGAGGAAATGCTAGGAAATATTTTCAGAATTTTTAGAAGCTTTTTTTTTTAAAGTTATAAAATTAAACATTACTTAAACATGAAGTGATATTGATAAAAATTTATTCACCTTTTCTATTTTGTTTTATTCTCATATCTGCTCTTCAGTTATGTTTCTGAGGTTATTATCACCTAGAACAGTTCTTAATTTTAGAAATGAAACTTAAAGGAACGCAAAATTAATTGGAGCAAATCTGCTTTTGATAATGAGCTTAGTGGCATTAAGTGCAGTGATTAGCATATTGAGGGAGAGATCAGGCAGGCAGAGAGGTTAGGGATGATCAGGCAGGCAGGGGGGCAAGGTAGGGGGGTTAGGCACAATCAGGAAGGCAGGCAGGCGAGTGGTTAGGAACCAGTTGTCCCAGATTGCGAGAGGGATGTCCGACTGCCGGGTTAGTCCCAATCCCAAGGGGTTTCAGATTGGAGAGGGTGCGGGTTGGGCTGAGGAACCCTCTCTGTGCACGAATTTCGTGCACCAGGCTTCTAGTATTGAATAAAAGAGGAACTTCTCACTTAATATGGCTGTTCACATTCTCAAGAATGAGAATCACATTCTTTCTCTTGGTCTTCCCTGACAGGTGTGGAGTTTGGGGCCCGTATGGTCAACATTGATGGAAAACAAATCAAACTGCAAATCTGGGATACGGTGAGAGAGGACAAAATAATTTAGTTTGTAACCAAGATTCAAATATAACACTAAATGTCCATGAGCAGGGAAGAGGCTTTGTGGGTGGGGCTAATGGTGGGGAAGAATCAAATCAAGGAGAGAGGGAAGTGAAAGCTGTTACAGTTACAAATTCTTAATGCCATGTGTTTAATTTTTTGTTTTAAGACACCCAAGTAATATATACATTTGTTCCAATAAAATAAAAGCCAACAATATAAGGGTACAGAATAATAAGTAAATATCACATAAAGCTCTCTCCTTCCCAATGTTGGTTTCTACTTTGCCAGAGGAAACCACTATTAATGATTCAGACTTTTCTTCTGTATTTAGATACAGAGATAGAAATATAAACAAATATATAGTAGTGGTTTTATTCTTGTTTGTTTTTAGAATTGTGACAAAGTAGACCTGCTTTGTGACTTGGGTTTTTATTTTTGAAACAATCTCTATGTTATGGAGATTTTTCCATATTGATACATATAAATCTACCTCATTTCTTATAACCACTTTATAGAATCATAGAATGTCTGTACCATCATTAATTTAACCATTGCGCATGATGGAAATTTAGGTGGTTTTGAATTTTTTACCAAAATTGCTAAGTTTCATTGTTTATTCTTATTTACTACATCTATATTCAGATATTTGAGGATTTCTGTGGTATACATGCCCAGAAATGGGAAATTCTGGGTCAAGGGATATGCATATTTTAAAATTTGATAACTGTTATCCTGCCAAAATTTAGTTGACTTAGTAATTTTATCCAGGTAAATTACTTTCATATACATTATCTCATTTGGTTTGTACTTTTATTTTCCTTGCAAAAAATAATATTCTAGTCTCTATTTTAAGTTAAAGGGAATTACCACATAGTTTCTTATGTTTAGCTAAAATCTCTTTCTATTTTTATTGTTATTTGATTCTGTATTTTCCCCAAACTGAAAGCTGAAGCAGTTCTCAAGTTTTTTCCCTTTTCCCTTCCTTCCCGTCCACACATGACTCCCCCCAACACAGAGATGTTTGTCTTAAAGGTGGTTACCTGGCGCTCTAGCCCTTTGTGCCCAGAGCCCTTTTCTGTGGTCTCCATTGTTGTTAGCCCTTTAGGTTGCATTGATTGATCAGGTGCTTTTAACTGTGATGACATTCTCCTGTACATTTGTTGGTTGTACCAGTGTTACAAACATTCTAGTAACCTTTTGACCCTCTGATTAGATTTTTCATCTTACCATATTGGATTGCCCTAATGATAGGAACCTGAATCATTTCACATCCCTAATAGTGTTAGCACTTAGCTAGATACCTCTAAAACTTACCATCATAAAACGTACTTCTTTTGACCAGTTTTGTCTCTAGCTCTTTTTTTCTTCACAATAAAGCCGGAAAGGTATTGTTCTATATCTGCTGTCAAGGTTAAGTTCATATATTTCTTAGATAGCTGCCACTTATTCCCTTCTCTTTTTATTGTTGGGGTCCGTGGGTGCTTTTTCACTTTTAATCTAAGTAAGTATTGTAACTCCCCTCTTATACACTGGTTTCTGTATTTCCCACAAAGATAGATTTGGCATCCTACAGAGGCCACAGGACAAATTCTGAGGAGGTGACCAGAGTGAAAGCCTGTAGTTGTCAGGACTGGTATTAGCTAGATGCTGCCTCTTTAAATGGAACCTCTGCCATTTCTAAAATTTGATCTTTTGATGCCAGATTAGCTGCCCTTTAGTGGTATGGTCATGGTTACGAGAGTGTCTGAGCATTGGCTTGCTTGCTTTTCTCTTTTTCCTTAAGTGGTAATATGACACATGGTGGATCGTAAAATAAGAAAGTTGAAAACCACTGCTCTAGTGACAGGATCCTTAAGAACCACATGGCCTGATACTCCCTTGTGATGCAGCTGGCCTTCTTCTTTTTTTTAAATCCTCACCCAAGGATATGTTTAATGATTTGATAGAGAGAGAGAGAGAGAGAGAGAGAGAGATAAACATTGAGTGGTTGTTTCCTGTATGTGCCCTGACTGGGAACTAAACCCACAATCTGTTTGTGCCCTGACTGGGAATCGAACCCATGACCTTTGATTTATGGGACGATGCTCCAACCAACTGAGCTATACTGGTACTGCTATTTTTAAAGAGATGAAGGTATCCAAAGTGTTTTTTTTGTCACTGTTCTAGTTACTGATAAGGATTTAGAGAGTTGTATTTTTTTAAAATTTATTTTTATTGATTTCACAGAGGAAGGGGAGAGGGGAAGACAGAGAGAGAGAGAGAGAGAGAGAGAGGGAGGGAGGGAGGGAGGAGAGATAAACATGAATGATGAGAGAGAATCATTGATCTGCCTCCTGTACGCTCCCCCACTGGGGATGAGCCCACAACCTAGGCATGTGCCCTTGACCCGAATTGAACCTGGGACCCTTCAGTCCTCAAGCCAGTGCTCTATCCACTGAGCCAAATCAACTAGGGCCATATTACTTTTTTCTTTTTTTATATCTATATTTTCCCAAATAACCATGCTAACGGAACTGACATTGTACTATAAATAATATTCTAGGTGTATCGGTTAATGATGGTGGATTTTTGTAATCAAAGAAAATGTGGTAATTTCAAGAGAAATATCAAAAGTGCTTTATTCAAAGTAATGTCCATCACTAGTTACACATTTCCCCATCTTTCAGGTAATTTGTGGATACCGTCCCAATAGAACTTTTCTTGTTTTGAGGCAAAACATTCAGAGACCCAATTTTCCACTTCTTTGTATGTTTTCTTTTTTTTAGATTTAAAAAAAAAAATCTTTATTGTTCGTATTATTACAAATGTTCCTCATTTTCCCCCTCTCCATTGCTCCCCTCCACCAGGTTCTCACCCCACCCTCTGCCCTTTCCCCACCCCCCATTATCCTCATCCATAGGTGCACAGTTTATGTTCAGTCTCTTCCCACTCCCCTTTTCCCCAAGAATCGTCAGTCCACTCCCTTTCCATACCTCTGATTCTATTATATTCAGCATTTAATATTGTTCATCAGGTTTTTTAATTCCCTTGATTTTTAGATTCACTTGTTGATAATTATGTATTTGTTGTTCATAATTTTTATCTTTATTTTCTTCCTCTTCCTAAATTATCCCCTTCAGCAATTCAAATAATTCTGGTTTGGTGCTGATGAACTAGCTTTTTTTTTTTATTAGTGAAGCTCTTTATCTGGCCTTCGATTCTGAGTGATAGCTTTGCTGGGTAGAGTATTTTTGGCTGTAGGTTCTTGCTATTCATCATCTTGAATATTTCTTGCCATTCCCGTCTGGCCTGCATGGTTTCTGTTGCGAAATCAGCTGACAATCGTATAGGTGCTCCTTTATAGGTAACTTACCTGCTTTGCTGTTGCTGCTTTTAATATTCTCTCTTTGTCTTTTGCTCTTGGAATTTTAATTATGATGTGTCTTCGTGTGGTCCTCCTTGGATTCCTTTTGTTTGGGGTTCTGTGGGCTTTCTGGACTTGTAAGTCTTAATTCTTTCACCAGGTGGGGGAAATTTTCTGTCACTATTTATTTCAATATGTTTTTGGTAACTTGCTCTTTCTCATCTTCTGGGACTCCCATAATTCTGATGTTGGTTTGCTTGAAGTTGTCCCAGAGGTTTCTTACACTATCTTCAACTTTCTGGATTCTCTTGTCTTCTTGCTCTGTGGAGGAGTGTCCTCTGGCTCTTTGTGTTCCAAATCTTTGACTTGATTCTTGCAATCTTCCATTCTGTTTTTAAGACTCTGTATAATATTTTTTATTTCAGACAATGTATTCTTTATTTCTAGTTGATTCCTTTTCATATCCTCATAGGTCTCGTTTATTTTATCGGCCTTTTCTAGGAAATTCTTGAAAAACCTTATAAGTGTGGTTTTGAACTCTATATCCAGTCACTTTTTGTCCTCCATTTCTTTCGTTTGTGATCTGTTTCCTTGTCTCGGCATTTTCACTGTTTCCCTGAGTTGGTAGGGTGGCTTTGTGTGTTAAGGTGTCCAATATGGTTCAGTGGGTCAGCCTCCCAGTTACCTGAGGTGGACACTCTTGGTGCACCCCTTTGTGGACTGTGTGTACAGCCTTTTGTAGTTAAGTCTTGATTGTTGTTGGTATCACTGGGAGGAACTGACCTCCAGGCCAATTGGCAGTGAGGAGCAGCTGTGTCTCTGCCGGGAGACAGCCTTATTTGACTAGACTTGGAAAATTGCAAAAGCCTCTTTGCTCAGCTTGTATGGGGTGGAGTTTCAGGGAGGAGCCTACAGCCTTGGCTTCCCGTCAGCCCTGCCCTATGAGGTTCCTGAGTCTCAGTGTTCCTCAGTGTCCTTCAGTACTCACTGCAAGCACCTCTGAGAGAAAGGTGCCTTCGAGTTTTGCCCACTACTGAACAGTCTAGTCTCTCCCCCAATGAGCTTAGAACTGGGGTTCAGTGCAGTTGGAAGTGGGGTTGGGTTAAGAGCAGTCCTGAGCTTTTGTCTCCTTTCCGCTAGGCCAGTCCAGTGGCACAGTCAACAATCCGTCCTCTGCCTGCAACGTGCGTGCCTCCGAGACTCTGCCTTTCGCCACTCCCCTGGGTTTCTGCCTTACAGCCCAGCTCCCTCTGTATGAGCCTGGGTCCCCAGGGTCTCGCCTAGAACTGGGGCTCAGTACAGTCCGGAGGTTTTGTCTCCTTCCCTCTAGGGCAATCTAGCTGCTCAGTCAACAGTCTGTCCTCTGTGCTAATTAACGTGTGCGCCTCCAGGGCTCTGTCTTTTGCCGCTCCCCTGAGTTCCCACCTTACAGCCCAGATTCCCTCTGTATGAGCTTGGGACACAGGGTCTTGCCTAGAACTGGGGTTCAGTGCAGTCAGAACTGGGGTTCAGCACAGTCCGGAGCTTTTATCTCCTTTCCGCTAGGGAATGCCAGCCAGGCTCTCAGCCACCCCTCCTTTTCGGCCCCATCATCTCCCTACGCGCGCACCATGTCTCCATACCATAGGCTTTTACAGCTCCTCTGATTTTCCTTCTGGTTTTCTCTTTCCTTCTAGTTGTAGAATTTCCAGTCAGTCAACTTTCCTGTAGTTTTGGATAATGTCCACTTTATATTTTAGTTGTATTTTTTGAAATTGTTGTGTGAGACTGCAGTTAGGTGTTTATGCCACCATCTTGATTTCTCCTCCCTGTATTTATTTTCCTTTGTTTTCAAGTGCTGCTAAAAAAGTGCGATCAGAATAAGTGGTAATCTGAAGGAGCAAGGTCTGGTGAATATAGGGAGTAAGTTAATATTTCCCAGGCAAGATCTTTTAAAGTGTCTTTAACTGGTTTTGAAGTGTGTGATGGTGCATCATCATGAAGCAAAATTACTTTGCCATGTCTTCTAGCACATTCTGGCTGCTTCACCATTAAAGCGTGGTTCAAATTGATTATTTGTTGTCAGTAGCAATCAGTATTAATGGGTTAAAGAAGCTCATAATACACCACACCTTCCTGATCCCACCAAATGCAGAGCCTTGTCTTTCCGAAGCAATTTGATCTTGCCGTCGATGTTGATGGTTGACCTGGATTAACCCATGATTTTGTACATTCTCAAAATAAATCCACTTATCATCGCCAGTCACAGTTTGATGCAAAAAAAGCCTTTCTTTCATGCCGTTGAAGCAAAATTTTACTGATAACTTTTTAGTTTTCCATTTGTCTTATGTTCAGTTGATGTGGCACCCACTTTCCTTCCTTTAAAATCTTTCCCATTGCTTGTAAGTGGTCAGAAATTGTTTGATGAGCAACATTTAATCTTTCTGCAAGTTGTTTTTGAGTTTGACATGCATCTTCATCCAACAATGCTTGTAATTGTTGCTCTTCAAACTTTTTTGGTTGACCTGGATATTCTTTGTCTTTCACATTGAAATCATCACTTTTGAAGTGTTTAAACCAGCATTCACAAGTATCTTGAAATGGAGCATGTTCACCATAAGCTACCCAAAGTATACGATAACTTTTTCTTCAAAATAAAGTAATGAATTAAAACTTCCTCCATCCGGCACCGGTTTGGCTACGTGGATAGAGCGTCGGCCTGTGGACTGAAAGGTCCCAGGTTCGATTCTGGTCAAGGGCATGTACCTTGGTTGCTGGCACATCCCCAGTAGGGGGTGTGCAAGAGGCAGCTGGTCGATGACTCTCTCTCATTGACGTTTCCAACTCTCTATCCCTCTCTCTTCCTTTCTGTGAAAAATCAATAAAATATATTTATAAAAAATAAAAAATAATAAAATAATAAAAAAAATAAAACTTCCTCCAAATGCTCTTTTTTTTTTTGGCACAAAATTCGACAGTTTTAAGCGTAAAAATATTTATGATGTTAACACCTTCACCAAATTTGACATATGAAGTTTTGAAGCTTGCTGTCGATACAACAAAACAGCATACCTATAAAATCGCATATAGCCGGGACCGGTTTGGCTCAATGGATAGAGCGTTGGCTTGGGGATGAAGGGTCCCGGGTTTGATTCCGGTCAAGGGCATGTACCTTGGTTGCGGGCATATCCCCAGTAGGGGGTGTGCAAGAGGCAGCTGATCGATGACTCTCTCTCATCGATGTTTCTAACTATCTCTCTCCCTTCCTCTCTGTATACAATCAATAAAAAATATATTAAAAAAAAAAATAGCCGGGACCGGTTTGGCTCAGTGGATAGGGCGTCGGCCTGCGGACTGAAAAGTCCCGGGTTCGATTCCGGTCAAGGGCATGTACCTTGGTTGTGGGCACATCCCCAGTAGGGGGTGTGCAAGAGGCAGCTGATGGATGATTCTCTCTCATCAATGTTTCTAACTCTCTGTCCCTCTCAATTCCTCTCTGTGTAAAATCAATAAAATATATATTTAAAAAATAAATAAATAAATAAATAAAATAAAATCACATATATATCAACATATATATAACTCCATCTATTGAAAAAAAAATCCACATTATTAACTGGTACACCTAGTGAAATATTAATTAAATAATCCCAATTAATTTATATTTTATTTTGGAATGTACTTTGATTCTTAGGAAATGAGCGTATCTGAATTTATACTTCCAAGTATCTATCTTGAAACTACAATAAGATGCTTCTACTTGGAAGTAATTAGAAAACTTATTCTCTTTATCAGACCTCCATCTTAGTCTTTGCTGCTTCAGATTTTTTACTTGGGGTGGATAAGGAACCTCAGACTGATGCAGACCTGCCCAACTTGAATCAGTCTCTCTTTCAGGCTTATTGGCTCTCAAACTTTGATTCATGAACTGGGCTGAGACAAGGAAGTAAAATGATTTTTATTTAATTTACTTAAACATATTTTTATTGAAAGACATTTTCTGATGACCCATTGGAAGTATTTTCAGTTGCTAAAGTTAAATGCTACCATATAATTCAACCATCATGAAGGTCCCCCTCAAACTTTTCCTGTTAGTTCCTACTAGGCCACAGGATAGGTGGGTCTTTCAACAATAGAGGAGAAAATGTCAGTAAGAGATAAAAGCAAAACAGGAATAACTTTTAGACAGAATTATTAGGGCCTTTACCAGAGTGGGCTTAGTTGGTCGAGCATCATCCCATGCACTGAAAGGTTGCTCGGTTGATTCCCAGTCAGGGCACATGCCCAGGTTGTGGGTTTGTTTCCTACCGGTAGTTGGGGTGCCGTACAGGAAGCAATCAATTGATATTTCTCTCTCACATCAATGTTTCTCCCTCTCTCACTTTCTCTATCTCTGTCTCCCCCATCCTTTTTCTAAAAAAAGCAATAAAAACGTATTTTAAAAACTATTAGTGTATAAAGCATTAAGTGAGTTCTTGGAAGGAAAACATGTTTTAAACCTTAAATTATTACTAATACTACCAACAACTTCTTTAGAATTATTTTTGGATTTTAATGTTCTAACAAGTATGCAACTCAACAAAAACATTTGAATGATTCTTAGTGGAAAGAGATTTAGTGTTGTTGGAAAAGTAACCTTAGAATTAGTGTATTGGAATTCTCTTCTCATCTTCAAACTCGGGTTTAAGTTATATGATGTCATGACCAAGAGAACAAACTTTTATGCTAGGAAGTATTAAGATCCTAAATTTAAGCTATGGGTTCAGCATTTATAAATTTTATAATTTTGGGCCAGCTATTGAACTTACTATTTTGAACCTCATTTTTTCCATTTGTGTTACTACTAGTGTCATCATATTTTCATTCTACTATGAGAAAGTCATTTCTTTTCCCATGTCCAATTTTAGTTTTTCCATCTTTAAAATACGAATAGTAGCTTTCCATCCCAAGCTTTTTTTAATATTTATTGGTTGATTTGAGAGAGAGAGAGATCGATTTGTTGTTCCACATATTTTGCATTCATTGTTTGGACTCTTGTATGTACCCTGACCAGAGATGGAACCCTCAACCTTGGTGTATTGAGATGATGCTCTGACCAACTGAACTATCTTGCCAGGGCACCCAATCTTCATGTAGGAATATGAGATTAATTGATTTCAAGAATGTGAAAACTTTACTAATGTTATAGATTCAGTTATCATTTTATTCATACTATTATTTAAAGGATGCTTTTGCTTCCTGTAAGGGGGGGGAATTCCATCAGGTAAAAGAAAAGCACCCATTATGTGGAGGCATTAATAAATTGCTCAGTTATAAATAAAACTTAGTATCTTGACTCTAACTGGAAATTTGAGTGTGAACAGTTGAATTGTGTGTTTGTTTGTTTGCTTTTTGCTTTTTTTTTTTTTAAGGAAAAACTCTGTTCTGGGGCCTGGGCTTCTTTCCCTGTTCAAGTGCTTAGTGTCTGACAATTTTCTGTATTGATTCATTGAAATGAAACTTTCATTAGACAGGGTATTGTCATTCTAAGATAATTTTTCTTTTTATAGGTAAAGGAATAGAGATAGAAAAGAAAGGTTAATGTAATGTGTTCAATATCATGTTTGGATTGACAGTACATGTACTGAGTTTCTAGTCCTATTTCTAGTTATTCTAGTGGATATTGATTGGTAAATGTCTTTGGTTGTCACATTGACTGTGGGGTGTAACTGGCATTTAGTGCCTAGAAACCAAGGATGTTAGTCAACAGTTTGATAGGTGGTCCCACAGGAATAATTGACCCATTCAAAATATCAATTGCATTACCTTTGAAAAATATTGGCTTCCCACCTGGGTTTCTCCCTGGGAAGTCATGTTTCCTTTCACTAATTCCCTTTTCTTATAGAAAATTTTAAAACTATTAAGCATAAAAATAAAAAAATAAAAATAAAAAAAAACATTAAAAAAAAACTATTAAGCATGTGTTCAAGTCAGTTCTCTGGCAATAACCTTGTTTTGTTGGGATGTTTTTTGTTGGCATGTTGGTGGGAAAGGCTGGGCAAGAATCCTTCCGTTCTATCACCCGTTCCTACTACAGGGGAGCAGCTGGCGCACTGCTGGTGTACGACATCACAAGGTGAGTCAGATCTGGTGGGTGGGAGGGAGACTCTTTGTTCTCAAAATTGGAATGCTAGGGAGGAATGGCATCTTAATGTTGTTCTTTATACATGTATCTTTTCTCCTTTTCCCATATATTTGGAATTTCTTTGGCATTCAGGTCCACTTTCTAAACTTTTGTAGGCGTGAAACCTTCAACCACCTGACCTCATGGTTAGAGGATGCTCGGCAGCACTCCAGTTCCAACATGGTCATCATGCTGATTGGGAATAAATGGTAAGTTTTTATTTATTTTTATTTATTTATTTTTATTTATTTATTTAAAATATGTTTTATTGATTTTGTACAGAGAGGAAGGGAGAGAGATACAGAGTTAGAAACATCGATGAGAGAGAGTCATCGATCAGCTGCCTCTTGCACACCCCGCACTGGGGATATGCCTGCAACCAAGGTGCATGCCCTTGACCGGAATCGAACCCGGGACCTTTCAGTCCCCAAGCCGATGCTCCATCCATTGAGCCAAACCGGTTTTGGTGTAAGTTTTTATTTGAATAGATAATAAACACCAACAGTCATCTGGGTACTCTATGGGCACTGAATCACTTGGTCCCCAAACTTTTTTAGTTTCTGGTGCTCTTAGTATTTCAGTGAAAAAAGTTATTGTGGTAAAATTATATATAACATAAAATTAACAGTTTTAATCATTTTTAAGTAACTTCTGTGGCATTACGTATGTCCATGTTGTTCTATAACCATCACTACCATGCATCTCCAAGCTTTATTATCTTCTCAAACTGAAACTCTGTTCCCATAAAACACTAACTCCACATCTTATCCCATTAGCTCCAGCAAATACCATTCTACTTTCTGTCTCTAAGAGTTTGACTACTCTGGGCATCTAATAAAAGCGGAATTGAATCCTACAGTATTTGTCCTTTTGTGACTGTGGCTTATTATTTGTATTGATTTTTAGAGAGAGGGGAAGGGGAGGAGAGAGAGAGAAACATTGATTTGTTGGTCTACCCATTTATACATTCATTTATTGTTTCTTGTATGTGCCTTGATCGGGAATCAAACCCCCAACCTTGGTGTATCAGAATGATGCTCCAATCAACTGTATTACTCAGCCAGGGCTGACTGTGGCTTATTTCATTTAGCATAGTATCCTCCAGATGCATCTATATTTCCTTTCTTTAAAAAAAAGTTTATTTACTTATTTAAAAATTTATTTTACTTTTTCCATTTATCCCCTCTATGCCCTCTTCCACCTCCACCACCCCTCCTTTCTTTTTTTTTAAGGCTGAATAGTAGTATTCCATTGAATTTATTTATCACATTTGGTTTATTTATTCATCCGCTGTTAGAAACTTGGGTTGCTTATACTTTTTGGCTTTTGTAAATAATGCTACAGTCAACATGGGTTTACAAATACCTATTTGGGTTCCTGGTTTTTATTATTTTGGGTGTATACCCAGAAGTGGAATTGCTGATCTCATGGTAATTCTGCATTCAATTTTTTGAGGTACTGCCATACTGTTTTTCATAATGGCTATACCATTGACATTTCTTCCAGCAGTGCATAGGATTTGGGTTTCTTCCCATCTTCCCCAACGCTTATTATTCTCAGTAAATTTTCTATGACACCCATAAGCCAAAAGAAATGCCTAGCAGTTTTATTATTAAATGATTAGATCTAAACAACATAAAAAGTATTTTTGTTATAACAACTTAATAACTGAGAAGTGAAAAACATATGCAGTGCCTTAAGATGCTAACATAGAAGGATAAAAAGAAAATCTTGATAAAACCCAGAGAAAAGATGGTAAAATTCCTCTTTGGATCCTATCTGGAGTCGCAGCTAGGAAAGAAAAAAAAAAGAAAAAAAAATGAAAAACATAAATTAAAACCATTTTTAGCCGAAGCCGGTTTTGCTCAGTGGTAGAGCGTCGGTCTGCGGACTGAAGGGTCCCAGGTTCGATTCCGGCCAAGGGCATGTACATTGTTTGCGGGCACATCCCCGGTAGTGGGTGTGCAGGAGGCAGCTGGTTGATGTTTCTCTCTCATGGACATTTCTAGCTCTCTCTCTCTCTCCCTTCCTCTCTGTAAAAAAATCAAACAAAAAAAAACCACGCCATTTTTAAATAATCATAATTACTTATTAATGACCTGTATGGCCTTGTTGGGCACTGCCTAGCTTCACAAACCTTGGAATCAAGATTGACACTGTCATTCTCACTCCTTGTTCCAAATTGATTTTTGCACAGTACTTACCTTTTTTTTTTTTTTTTTTTACAGAGAGAGAGAGGGATAGAGAGTTAGAAACATACATGAGAGAGAATCATCAATCATCTGCCTCTTGCACACCCCCCCACTGGGGATGTGCCCGCAAACAAGGTACATGCCCTTGACTGGAATCAAACCTGGGACCGTTTAGTACTCAGGGCGATGCTCTATCCACTGAGCCAAACCGGTTTCGGCAGTACTTGCTTTTTATCACAGCAGCTGTCAAAAACTTTTTACAAAGAGATGAAGATATTAAACGGCATCTATTCTTTTTTTTAATTTTTTTAAATTTTTATTGATTTCAGAGAGGATAGAAACATCAATGATGAGAGAGAGCTATTGATTGGGATTGATGGGCTGCCTCCAGCATGCCCCCAACTGGGGATCGAGCCCACCACCCAGGCAGGTGCCCTTGACAAGAATTGAACCTGGGACCCTCTAGTCTGCAGGCCAACGCTCTATCTACTGAGCCAAACTGGCTAGGGCTAAACGGAATCTATTCTGATCTAATGTTGACTCTGTGAACTATCGTTAGCTTGTAATTCACACAGTGTTCTTATATTGAATATTGCTGTGTTTCCCACAAACATTTGAAGTATCCTTTGGCGCCTTTCTGAGTTTGTAGTAGTCCCAAAATTGCACCATTTAAGAATTGCCTACAGACTAATTGCACTCATTTATTGGGTTATTCAGTTTTATGGAAAACCTACTATGTCCTAAACACTATGCCAGACCTTGGATGTACAAGGTAAAAAAACCCAAAAAACCCAGCACAAAACTCATGCTCTTGCTCCTATGGAGTTTAGTAAAAGGCAAAAAAGATTTATGCGATCTGAAGAGAAACCAGAGTTCCTATGCAGTTTAGAGGAAACAAAGATATTAAATATAAATTATCTGTGTCTAATTACAAAGTATGACAAATTCATTGAAGGGGAAAAAAGGACTGCTATAAAAGAGAGAAACAAACTAAATATTTTTTTTTTTATTAAGAGTAATATTTAAGTTGGAATATGAAGGATGGGTAAAAGTTTAACAAAGACTTAAAAACAACAACAATAAAATAGCCTGGGCGGGTGGCTCAGTTGTTTGGATCATTATCCCATACACAAAAAGATTGCAAGTTCAATACCTGGGTTTCAGGTTCAATCCCCTGGGCTTGTACAGGATGCAAGCAATCTATGTTTCTCTCTCTCTCTCTCTCTCTCTCTCGCTCTCGCTCTCGCTCTCGCTCTCGCTCTCGCTCTCGCTCTCGCTCTTCCCTTCCTCTTTCTCTAATTAATTAAACACACACACACCACAAACATATCCTTGGTTGAGGATTAAAAAACCACACACAACTCAAGCCCAGACAGCGTTGTTTAGTGGCTGAGCCTTGATCCATGAACCAGGAGGTCACAATTTGATTCCCCATCAGGGCACATGCTCAGGTTGCAGACTTGATCCCTAGTAGGAGGGCATGCAGAAGGCAGCTGATAGATGTTTTTCATTGTTGTTTCTATCTCTTCCCTCTCCCTCTCCCTTCCTTTCTCTGAGACCAATAAGAACATTTTCAAAAATTAAAAACAACACCCCCAATCTCACCCAGATTTAGAGAGGGAAAACAAAGTGTGTGAAAGCCTCAACTGGAAGAAACTATGCAAATTATGGTATTGAAAGAAACTGGTGTGGCTGGGCTGAATTAAGGGGGAACGTATCAGATGAGGTTCAGGGCCCAGATGTAGCGGCATTTACGGGCCTTAGTAAGGAGCTTTGATTTTATTATAAACACAATGGGAAGCATTTAAGCAAAGAAGTGACTTGATAAGATTTTAAAAGATTTCTCTGGAGGGGAGCAAGGGTTGAAGTGGGATTTCAGTGGCAGTACATTCAGAGAGAGAATGGTGGCTTGGAGTAGGGTGATGATGAAGGAGAGAAAGAGAAAAGAATTCTAAGATACGTTTTGGAAGCACCTCGCTGTGGAATGGATAGGGTATTTGGAGAGAAGGAAGGAAAGGTGTTAATAAAGGTATTTTGGTTTTGCCTTGTGCCATTTACTGAGATGTGGAAGCCTGCAGCAGAAGCAGGTTGGGAGGAAAATATCAAGTTCCATTTTTGATGTAAGTTTCAAGTTCCTTTTACACATCAGAGTGGAAATGAAGTACAGGCAAATGGACAAACAGGCCTGGAGCTTAGAGGAGCATCTGGACTAGAACAACAGCTTCGGAGTGTTGGCATTTAGATGGATAGTTCTTCCCTGATCTTATACAGCTGATGTAGAATGAATATACATTTTGTAGATTTGTTGTTCTTTAATGGACTTCTTGATTTTTTTTTTTCATGATTGGAATACTAGAAACCTCCTAAATGAAAATTTCTAATTTGAAAGTAAAAGTCTATCCTTACCTTATTTTACAGCCTTTTATTCTGACTTTCCTGAAGTTTTTCCATGTGACTCTTCATTCCTTTCTAAGTCTTTTGATCTATTCCCCTGTCCCATATTATCCAGTTTTATAATTTTTTCTGAATCCTTCACTTACCTGATGGCAAGCTGCTGTTGTACATGTTAATAAGGAGACTAGTGAGAGCTGAGAGTTAAGGCACCTTTGTTCTTACTCCTGGCTTTCTCTCTTCTTGCGAATTGGTTCCAGTAAAGGAGGGAGAAACTCATTAAGATGGGTTGAGACATCTATGACCTTTCTCCTTTCTGACAACTGGAATTTCCCATTCATCTTCTTTCCATTGCTTCCACCAGATCTCATTTGAAAAAAGCACAGGGCATAAGCTAGAGCGAGTATGAGCTTGTGTAACCTTTTATAAACCCTATTCTGTGTAATGGAGTAAGATATTATCCTCAACCATGCAGCAGCCACCATGGATCTGAAGCATATTTTCCAAGACACCACAGAAATCAGTAATCCTATAAATGTTATGTAGCATCTATATTCCTTATGGATTAACTGACAGTTGAAACAGTTATGGAATGCTTTTAGAACGAGAGTTTTTTAAATTTGGATCTTACTTTCGTTTTCTCCCAAATTAATCACTTGCAGTGACTTAGAGTCCCGCCGGGACGTGAAGAGAGAGGAGGGGGAGGCCTTCGCTCGGGAGCACGGACTTATCTTCATGGAAACCTCAGCCAAAACAGCCTGCAATGTGGAAGAGGTACTGTTTCAGAGATTATATCATCGTATCTTTGTCCTTTTATTCAGAGACATGGGTAAAGAAAGAATGTTATGTGGTCAAATTGTCTCCTTTAAGGGAATCACCCCATTTCTTTACTTTGATTTCTAAGGTTTTATTTCTGCTTCAGGTAACATTAATTGTAAACTTAATGTTACTTGTAAATTACTTTAGCTGGAGAGTCTCATGGGTTGTGCTGTAATCATTCCTCAGCTTGGTGTTGACTGTATCAATTAAGAAGAGCGCCTGTTTGCCAATCGAGGAACATCTTGGATCAGTACCAAAATACCATATAATTCCTTTTTTTCTTTTTAAAACTATTCACAATGGCTTTTACAGGGACTGTGGGGGACCTTTACATTTTTTACTCCGTTTTTCTAATGGTTCTAATCCATTTTATTTATTTATTTTTTAATCCTCACCTGAGAATATTTTTTCCCTTGGTTTTTAGAGAGAGTGGAAGGGAGAGGGAGAGAGAGAAACACCAATTGGTTGCCTTCCGCTTGCCCCTGACCAGGGCCAGGAGCCTACAATTGAGTTACATGTCCTTGGCCGGAATCGAACCCAGGAATCTTCGTTCCACAGGCTGATAATGCTCTATCCACTGAGCCAAACTGCCAGGGCTCTAATTCACTTTAGAAAATCAAATAGGAATACTATTTGTATTGTCTTTTCCTTATTTTCCTACCTAAACTGGAGCCTAATAATATAATTTATGTCTCCTTTAGGCCTTCATTAACACAGCCAAAGAAATATATAGGAAGATCCAGCAGGGTTTATTTGATGTCCACAATGAGGTGAGAAAGAGTGGGGTGACAAATTTGCTTTGTCTTAAATGCTGTAGTGAGCTCCCTAGAACGTAAGCATCCACTATCATTATACTAATTGAAGCTCTGCCAATTCATACTTGTTGTTTTTTATGTAGGTGCATGATAACCTGTCATTTTCTGTTTTTGTTTGTTTTTTGTTGTTTTCTCAAATCTGAGACCTAGAATGCTTCAAGTGATTTTATTAGTTGGTGTCTAAAAAGCTTATACAGTATGAGAGCTTTTTTTCTCAACCTCGTTTCTTTACTATTTCGGTGCTTGAGAGAGGTATAATGCTTAATTGCTCAGCAGGGCCATTATATAAAGCAAGTTTTGGGGCAAAACATAAAATAATTATATGCTTATATACTACTTCTACTCTTTTGCTTGCTCCTACTCTTTCCTAATCACATCCTGATTCTGCACATAGCTGTGAATCTTAAGTATAACAGTCGTCTTAAAAAGGGGCACAAAAGCTATTTCTAGTCATCTATAACTAGCTACATTTAGTCATCTAATATTTATAACACAGATGGTCATCTCATCTTCACTATCACAGATTGTTGTTCTACAACAGTCTGGTTAGGGCACATGGTTATTTGCCAAGGTCATATCTGCTTCTAGAAAGAGTAATTAATGATTCCTTTATCCCCTTCCTTTCTCCTGTTTACTTGTGCACTTGAGGTGGGCACTACTGCTTCTTTTGTTTTGCAGGCAAATGGCATCAAGATCGGTCCTCAACAGTGTATTTCAACATCAGCGGCACCCATCGCCACCCAGCGGAACTCTGGTGACATAGAGTCTAACTCTGGCTGCTGCTGAATGTCTGGCCTGGACTCTCTCTCTTCCCCCAACCCCCTTCCTGGAACAGCTTCAGATCAATAGGCTTACAGAGGTCTTATTAACTTTGGCTGAGAAAAGCCTGCTCTCAAGGTGTGATGGTTTGCCTTTCCACTTAAAGACCGGGGGGAAATTGAGCCCTTACTGACTTGTCCCTTCTTCAGGGACGTGAGCGTTCCTTATAGATTAGGGCTCTTATTATACCCTATTTTTATTTCTAAAATGTTAATATCAAAGTTGATTGTCATGGCAACTAAAAAATAAATTATTTTAGAAGTATACATAATCTGCTCCCCACCAGGAATCAGTAACATGGGTCTGGGACATTCTGCTTGAGCAGAATTACTGGGATCTGGCTAGCCTTTGGATGATACGGTAGATCCTCAGTCTTTGAATTTCATTGTTTTTCCACCTGTCACTTCATAAGAGTTCTTGCAAAAGGCTGCAAGAGTTCTTGAACTGCTGAAGAATCCTGAATACTTCTCTACCATCTTATTACTAGTCTTAGAGGAACTACAGAGCTTTTGAGAGCAATGGAATTGCTCCTGGACCTGTGGCCACTTATTACCTAAAGAAAACATCTTTCCCTGTTTGTTTCTTTTAGGGACCAGACCTAACATTGCAGTATCTCTCACAAAATAGACCCCTACTATTTCATCATACTTCTTAATGAGACCTATTGAGACTTTTTACTCTAATCAAGCTATTCTGCTTACTTATTGGACATGACATATTTACTTCCACTTCTATGCCTTTGCACATGCCCTACTCTCTGCTAACATTATACTCAAAATCCAAAACTTTCCTTCAGAAAGTCTTCTTTGACTGACCTAGGGATTCTAAGCAATTATTGACACAGTACCCCTTAGCTTTCATATGTTGTTTATTCATATGTATATTTATTTGTATTTATGTTGCTTTGTAAATATGTTTTATAGTTGTTCTGTGCGTGGAATCTGTCTCCTCACATAGGATGTAAGCTCCTTGAGAGCAGGGACCACATCATCCCTGTACTTTGTGAAGCATTCCCTCCACCACGCCTTCGCAGTGCCTCGTGCTGTGTATGTGATCACTGAAGCTAACTGACATACTTAAAAACTCAGAACAGGTCTGCTTTAGAGGAAACAAAGTTCAGAGGAAACAAAAGGCTTTGAGTCTTCTCTTTGTAACTCTATCTCAATCTCTTCCATCTGCTTACCCTGGATTCTATAGTGCTCTTCTCCCTCTCCTCTCTTTCCCTTCTTAGCTCTTTGCTTCAATTCCATGCAGCATACAGCAAGGTTGCCTGCTTCTAAGCAGTCAAATAAGTGGGTATTTCTGCAACCATTCTCGTTTTCTTTTCTTTTTTAAATCCTTTTAAAGAGCATATAATACTATCCTAGCCAAATTTGCCTTTGCTTCCCTCTTCATTCAGCTTTCCGGGTCAGTTGCTATATCTTTTGCCTTGCTGTCCCATACTATTCCACAGCACTGAGTCTCATGAATTTTTATAATTTTTTTGTTGTTGGTGGTGAATTGCTTCATTATTAAATATAAGCATGTATCCAAGCTGCTCATATTTCATGTGTCATTTCTGATTGATCTCAAGCATAAGAAGATACTCTCCTAGGAAACTCTGTCAAAGATATTGGAAGAGGTATTCCTTGAGATATATTCATGCCATAGAGGACTCTGCCCCCAGTTACCACTGTACCACAGGAAGTTGGGAGACATTTGGAGTATTGCTTTGCTTATGCTTTTGTTTTTTTTAATCTGACCTCATTCCAAAAAGGATTTAAGGCTCTTGAATTTGGGGTTAGTCTGCACCTTCACACGAGGGACAAAACTAAAGTAAATATAACTATTGTTTTGGTACAGTTTGTCTTTACCAACAAAAAAATATTTAGTGTTTGTAATCAATGATCAAAGATAGCATTCTGCCTGGAGCGGCTGCTTTCAGAGCTATTAAAGTGTACCATTTTGATGTTTTGGAGCATATCTTTTTAAACCAAAAATCCTACATCCAGTTCTGTTATCAAAATCACTCATAACCTTCTATACTTGAGTATTTCACCAATCGTAAGATATACAGGAGAAACAAAAGTTTCTGGACAAATTCATGACCTGTGTTGATCACTGCTGATGCTCTGAGTGAAATGGTCATGAATTATCATAGAAAATGGATCTCCCATGCCCTAGCCGGTTTGGCTTAGTAGATAGAGCATCAGCCTGCAGTCTAAAGGGTCTTGGATTCAATTCTAGTCGAGGGCACATGCCCTGGTTGTGGGCTTGATCCCCTGTGTGGGGGGTGCAGGAGGCAGCCGGTCAATCATTGATGTTTCTATTTTTTCCCTCTTCCTTCCTCTTTGAAATAAATTTAAAAATACTTTAAAAAAAAGAAAAAAAGAAAATGGGTCTTGCACCCTGATGAAGAATGGTAGCTATGAGGTAATATGGGTGTTGATTGGTTTTTGAAGGAACCATATTATTTATAGCAGTTTATTACTATTGTAGATCACTGCAGACAGCAGTAATTATAGACCAGGCATACCCTTTTTCCTTTCTATAATGTAATGCCTATAACTGGTTCCTTCGATAGTAAGTTTATTTTGTATCAAATAGGCAGAAGGATAAATAGATTCTCATTCTAGAAACTATTAATAATTAAGATCACATCTGCATATTCAGTTGCAAACACATTGTTTTGATAAATCCTAATACCTCAAGTTTGATATAATTTGGCCAAGGGGAGAATTTGGCCAATAGACTGTACTGCATACAGGAAAATGTATGTGGCCAAGTCTTATCACTAATGTGATAAAATATTACTCATATGACTCCTTAAGGTCTCAACTCCTACCATGTGTGACCATGCAAACATATCAGTCATTTAGAAATTCCTTTCATGATCTGGAAAGGCTCCACTCCTCAGTTCAAAAACAAAAACTTCCAATAGCAAGGAGAGATTTAGACTAGGACACACAGGAAAATCTCATTGACCACAAGAGAATTTAAGCCGACATTAAATTATTTCCTATATGTTGTGGAATTGTGCACCTGAAACCTGTATAATTTTGTTAAGCAGTGTCACCCCAATAAGGTCAGTAAAAAGGGCAATAAAATTATGTCCTTTCTTATTTAAATGCAGTTGTTAGAAAATTACTCTCTGCTGCCTATGTTTTTAAGACTGACCCTTAATGGCTCTCTTCCTTATATATAATTTCTCTTTAGACTTCTATCATTTGCTCTATCTGTATTTACAAGTAGTTTGGGTCTACTGATGAATTTAGTCTTTTAAAAAAATTGTTCTTCCCTAAATCGTTTTCTCATTTCCAATGGACTCCCAGCCCAATGTACTGTCAAAGTCAGAACCCTGGAAAACTGAAAAGTGAAGCATAAGGATTAGAAACATCTAGAATAGAGATCAACCAATAGGTTGGTCTTATGCTGATGTCCTGGGAGTGAGATGACCATAAAGGATTATTCCAGGAACTGGGAAAACCCACTTTCTTTTAAAAAAATTTTTTAAAAAAGTATATATATTATTGATATTTTTACAGAGAGGAAGAGAGAGAGACAGAGTTAGAAACATCGATGAGAGAGAATCATCGATCAGTTCCCTCTTGCACGCCCCTACTGTGAATGTGCCCGCAACCAAGGTACATGCCCTGGACCGGAACCGAACCTGGGAACTTTCAGTCCACAGGCAGATGCTCTATCCACTGAGCCAAACCAGTTTCAACTGTCTAAGAACTCTTTATTTATTTATTTATTTATTTTTTGCTGCTTTTATTTGATAAGGTCGCTTCACTGCTATGAGAGGGGGTGGCGGTTGCTTCTCACCACAATCAGCAATATTCCAGTTTCCCCCCATAGTGAGCAAGGGGCATTCTTATATAAAGGAGTTGGAGCCGGGCCTCAGCAGTCCGACAGAACGCCGAAAAGAGCTACATTTTCTCTAAGCACTCCCTCTTCCTGCCCCTGAGCACCTGCCCGATCCAAGATGGCTTCCCGGGAACAGGTAACTAAATGTTTTCCGTGCAGAGCGCCCCCAGCGGCGGGGGCAAAAGAAATGCCCAGGGGCCTGGAAGCCTGCGAACTGAGGCTATCAAGGGGAGCTACCGCCGGATTTTATTTTCAATCAGGCATATCCGTGGTTGCCTACGGACACTTCGGAGCCTTTTAGGACCCACGCCCTCCTTCCCCCCCCCCCCACCTTCGAGAGACTTCCTGGACGGAACGCACACAATCCTGCTGGAAGAGGCCGGGCGTCGGCCCTGTCATTGGTGGGAGGAAGTTAGGTGGGCGGGGCCGGGCGAGAATGGACTACTAGCAAGCTAGGTTGAGGCGAGGGCTGGCCATGCTCCGCCGGAAGGCGCCTTGTTCTCCGAGAGGGTGAGTTGAAACGCTGGCTGGAAAGGAAGTGCCGGGACTGGTTCAGGTAGGCTTCCCGTTCGCGCCCGCTCCTCAGTGCCGGCGCAGGGGTCTTTGCAAAGGCCGAGGCCCTTAGAATCGGTTTCAGAGACTCATCCTCTTCCTCGATCCACCGCCCCTCGCCCGCCCGCCAGTTGTGAAGGGATCAGGTGCCGGGTGATGCTCCGGACGGAACCACTCTCCTTTGTGAGAGGCCGGGGGAGCGGCCGCCCGCCCGCCGCCGCCGCCGCCGCCGCCGCCGGGCCCGGGCCGCGCCGCCCGCGGGGCAGCTGCCCGGCCGCCGCGGGGTTTCAGGGCCTGTCACTGCGGTGCTGGGCGGGGTGTAGGCTTTAAGGCAGCTCCTTGACCTCCTTGGCCCTTCCGAGGAAGGAGAACTCCCCGGCTCCGTTTGGTTACACTCCATACTTTGGACTCAGGAGTGAGAGAGTAGGGCTTTTCTTTTTTTGATGTTTGTTTTTGGCTCGTGTTCTTGGCTTGTAGGTTAATAGTGGAAGTGGGTAGGAACGCACGGGGTGAGCGTGTGCAGATTGGTTCACATTATTACGTGTAGTTTCTGTGGATCTTTGGGA